CGTCACAGATGAAGCGTTAACAGAGGATGTTGCTTACGTCGTTTTACACAAATTAACTTGTCAAATTGTAGGCACCGCAGTCGAGTTCTTACAACTGGTATTATCAGCAGCAGCAGCAGAATAATAATAATCGTTGGCAACATCAGCATCAGGGGCAGCATCAGCAGCAACATTAGCAGCACCATCAGCATCAGCAGTCTCATCATTAGCAGAATAATCATCATTAAATAAATCAATCGTTAATTTGCGTGCCAATATCGCCCCTCAATAAAGTGGGCATCAGTGCACATTACGAGGGAACGGGAACGGTAACAGCGGGTACGGAGCAGCAACAGGGATGATGGACGAGACCCATCAGACCCTCAGCAGAGTCAATTGCAACCGTGCGAATCGAATAGCATAAGAAAGTTAAGTGGCACATGAAGAATAAATAAAATAAATGAAAAGGAAAGAGACAGTTTTCATTTCAAATTTTAGATTTCATCAGCATTAGAACATAAGTTGACGCCTCTCATAGTACCATTATCAGCAGCAGTAGCATTCCCATCATCATTATCAGCAGCAGTAGCAGCATTATCATCAGCAGCAGAATTTATCATAAACGATACCATTAGCAGGCAGCATCAAAATCAGCATGACTGTCAGAAAACAGTCACCAATAGAAATATCATTATAATAATCATCATCAGCAGCTGTTGAGAGGGCATCTATAGAAACCGCCTCTTGGATAAAGGCGGCTATTAGAAGTTGAGCAGCAGCATCATCATCATCAGCGGTAGTCATCATCAGCAAATATTATAACAATCATCATCATCAGCAGCAGCAACATCATCATTATTAACATCAGAAGAGCGGACATGATGACTGGACCCCTCTTGGATAGAAGCGACGCTTGGAAGTTCAGCAGCATTATCATCATCATCAGCAGCAGCAGCAAACATACTCATCAGGAGCAAACAAAATCATTATATTGTGCAACACATTTTTTGTTGTTCCTGGGTAGTAAGTGTTATTTCCTAATTGTGAATGCCTCCAAAGTACAGAAAATGGCTATTATTCCCCACAAACTTTGCTTTTGTGACCAGAACAGTGATATTTTTAAATGTAACTATTTTCCAGAACATTCCAGATATATTCAGTGCTGAGTAAACTTGGAGTAACTTTAAGAACATTCTAGAACTTTCCAGTAATATAAATAGTAGTATGTATACAGGGGCCTTAAGCCCACCAGTTCAGTTTAGTTCCAGCTGCCTAAGTGGATACATATCTGCATTTTTCTGAGATGGCATCAACAGGCTGCAAGCATCTGGCAGACGCATTTTGCTTTGTCTGCGGCCAATTGATCAAGACAAGAGCGAGAAAGTACTCTGTGGAAGCATCTGCTAATATGTGTGAGGCCTACAACAAGGCATATTTCGGCATGCCTGTCGGGGATCAAGACAAACCCTAGGCACCTCATTTCACCTGCGAGCAATGCAAAAAAACTCTGGAAGGTAAGATGGACAATTGTTGCTCGGAGTTTTATGTTATAAAAAAATAAAATTGTAAAAGTTTTAAATTTTAAAATGTTTAATAATTTCAATGTTATTGAAAAAAATATATGAAAAATGTTGCAAGAATCTCTTACACATTAGTCATGGGTGAAATAAATGTATTTTTGAAGGATGGTACAGAGGGGAAAAGAGAGCCATGAAGTTCGCTATCCCAAGAATTTGTCGGGAACCCACTGACCACTCAAGCAACTGCTACTTCTGCATGGTGGACCCTGCCAAACGTCTGACTGGCAAGAATGCACCTGTTATCACGTATCAGACCTTCCTTCATCCATCGCCCCGGTGCCACACTGCCAGGAGCTCCCCGTACCCACTCCTTCTGGAGAGAGCAGCCGTCTATAGAAGAGAGCAGCAAGTCAGAGAGCGAGGAAGACGTTGTAGATCCAGATGACAATTTCAGAGGTGGAGCTGAGGAGAGAAACCCATACTACCCCAACCAAAAAGATCTCAACGACTTGATTAGAGACCTTGGTCTCACCAAGTCCAATGCCGAGCTTTTGACGTCTAGGCTCAAGCAGTGGAACTTGTTGGATGAAAGTGTGCAAGTCGCAGGCCAGAGGAAGCGTCACCAACCTTTTTGCAGCTTCTTCACCCGTCAAGATGGGCTCTGCTTCTGCCACAATGTGACCAGCCTGTTCGAGGCAATCGGAATCGCCTGTAACCAGAATGAGTGGCGCCTCTTCATTGACAGCTCATCCAGGAGCCTCAAAGTCGTACTGCTCCATAATGGTAACAAGTACCCGTCTCTTCCCTTAGCTCACTCGGTGCACCTCAAAGTTGATTACAACAACATCAAGACCTTGCTGGACGCCTTGAAGTATGATGAGTACGGCTGGGAGGTCATCGGAGACTTCAAAATGGTGGCATTCCTGATGGGTCTCTTAGGCGAAACACGGCAGAACAAATTCTTCGGCCGTGGCTGATCATTGTTTCAACACAGCGGGTTTTCGTGACATTGTTTTCTCCGATACCAAAGTACTATGCAAACCTCCCCGTTATGACCAAAGATTTGTCCATGAAGCCATCCAGATATACAAACACAGACACAACTTCAACCGAGAGGATGGTTTCAAATTGAGCAACCATTGGAAAGATGTCATAAACCAAGCCAAACTTTAGCTAAATAATAAGTGTACAGCCGTTTCCATTACTCTCGTGCAGTGAACCACCACATCCCCCGAACCCTCAGCATAACAAAAGGCGGCTTAACTTAGCCCTCCACCTCATCATCGTTCCCTTCCTGGCTCCTCCCCCCCCCCCCTTAACCTGTATATAATCTTGGGTGTCTCAGAGCTCCTCACTTGATGCAGCTATCTTGCTGTGACTGTTCCACTTGAAGACGGAAGCTTGTGTTGCCTCCGAAACGTCGTGATTTAATAGAGTTGTTTTATTATTATTTTATTTTACCTATGTGACTTTACCGAAAAAATCAAAGAGTATGAATCCTTGCAGTCACGCAAGCTTCAAATCTAGAACTCCTAGGCGATTTTATCAAGTTTCCCTGCTATCTTTGCGTTTGGGACAGCAGGGACACCAAGGCGCACTACCACAGGCGGGACTGGCCACAGCGGACCGAGTTCTCTGTGGGGAGGAACAACGTCAAGTGGGAGCCACTGGTGGACCCCCGGAAGGTGCTGATGCCACCACTGCACATCAAATTGGGCCTTATGAAACAATTTGTCAGAGCTGTAGATAAGGAGTCGGCAGCCTTCAAGTACCTTCAAGACTTCTTCCCTAAGCTGTCTGAGGCAAAGGTCAAAGCCGGTGTCTTCGTCGGACCACAGATAAAGAAGATCCTGGAGTGCAATTAATTCCCCAAGAAACTCACTAGTAAGGAGAAAGCGGCTTGAAACAGCTTTGTCGCAGTGGTTTGTGGCTTCCTTGGCAATCACGAGGCCGAAAACTACGTGGAGCTGATAATAGTTTTTTTACCCTTTTATCTGGCAACAAAACTGACGCATTTTTTACAAGGAGTCATGTTTGAATTGACCACAATACCTGCGGTCGGAATGCAAACAAAAAACATAACTCTGATAATGTATGCACTGTCCTTGGAATTGATTGATCCACACCCGAGACAGCTTTCCTTAGAGCCTCGTCTCACGTGGTGTTGGACCAGATGACGCCTTTTGGCAAAGGAGGTTCCAATACTATTTGGAGCTGGTTGAGACTCTGGTGAAGAACTACGGCACAACGGGCTGTAGGATGTCCCTCGAAGTCCATATTCTTGATGCTCATCTTGATAAATTCAAGGAGAACATGGGAGCGTACTCGGAGGAGCAAGGCGAGTGCTTCCACCAGGATATACTGGACTTTGAACGCCGCTACCAAGGACAGTATAACGAGAACATGATGGGAGACTACATTTGGGGGCTGATTCGTGAAAGTGATTTACAGTATAATCGTAAATCTCGAAAAAATACTCACTTCTAAATCTTTTGTAGTCATTTTTGTTTTACTTTAGTATGAATACATGTTAATTTTGATTCATATGTTGTTTTTTTCTGACTTCATGTAAACGAAAAGACACAAATTCGCCCGATTTCTCATTAAAAATAGGTACATTTCAAAATATCACTGTCCTGGTCACAAAAGCAAAGTTTGTGGTGAATAATAGTAATTTTCTATAGTTTTCAGGCATAAGCAATTACGAAATAACACTTACTACCCAGGAACAAAAATTTCGTTACATAGAGTAATCAGCAACCATAATCATCATCAGCAGCATATATAATCATCATCAGCAGCAAACATAATCATCAGCAGCAAATATAGTCATCAGCAGCGAGCAATCATCAACAGCAAAGATAATCTTCATCATTAACAGCAGAGAACGTAATCATCATCACCATCATCATCAGCCGAAAACTTAATAATCAGCAGGAAACAATCATCATAAGCAGCAAACATTATAATCAGCAAACATAATCATCATCAGCAGTGGCAAACAACAGCATTACAATCATCATCAGCATGAGAGCGGGCATCTATAAATGGCCAGCGCCTCTTGGATAGAGGCGGCTATTGTAAGTTCAGGTGTGATCGTCGTCGTCACCATCATCAGGGCAACAACGCTGGGACGGCTGAATGGCGCCTCTCACTCACGGTGCCCTGACTCAGCCACTCCAAAGCAACGCGCGCTGTCCTAAGTAGCCCTTTACATGATGAGGAATAGAGTGTGGGGGGGAAGGAGGTGGGAGTGTGGGGGAGTGTGGGGGAAGGAGGGGGGAGTGTGGGGGGGTAAGAGTGGGATGAGGGGGGAGTGTGGGGGAAGGAGGGGGGTTTGAGGGGAAGAGGGGGGAGTGTGGGGGGAGTGTGGGGGGAAGGAGGGAAGGAGGGGCAGGTGGGGGGAGTGTGTGCGTGGAGGAGGAGGTTGATCATTGTGTAACCCCCCCCTCTCTCCTGAAGCACGCACCTAATGGTCCGGGTTCTTTAATCAGACGAGCTAGGTGGTGGGTGGGGGGTGGAGATGCGTGAGCCGCTTTAGTTCGCAGATTGCCCCCCCCCCTCTCGCCCCCTCCCATCACGGCATCCCCCCCCCCCTCCCCACTTCACACTTGCGCGTCCTTAAGAGGCGACGCCACAATCCGGTCCATCAGCAGCGGAGCAGCGGACAGGAGCCAGAGAGAGAGAGAGAGGCAGGGAGAGAGAGGCAGGAAGAGAGGCAGGGAGAGAGAGAGGCAGGGAGAGATTAACGGAAGGAGAGGCTGGGGAGCTTATGCCAACCCCGACAACCCACGACCAACACATAGGGTAACCCCCCCCCCCCCCCTAAGGTATTAAACCATACAGATATGCGCATCGCATGTGCGTGTGTTACATGTTTCACACGTACACAGTACGCTCGCATACTCAATATTAATCGTTCGGTATTTAATCTAGACACATATTATTTTGCAAACACACTCACACACATACGTACGTTTCAGATATGCCATATAGACAGTTTACATATATAGCCTAATCTAATATTTATAGACACATTATATAATACACCCATACACACACACTTGTTGCAGCTACGCGCTCACGTACTCCCCACATAATACGCGCATTCTCCCTTTTACACACAACCTTAAGATACTATATTTCTCACGCATAACCTACGCACATTGACTTCAAGCCGAGCCTTACCTTTCACACTTCACACAGTGGAACTTACCTGCAGTGCGCGTCCTGCAACAGTGAACAACACATCACACAGAACGCAAAGGTGACCCCCGTCTTTGTAACACTCAAGTTGGCACGAGTGCTGCCGTCAGCGCAGACAATTGTTCAATCCGACAAAGAGCCACGCCACACACACACACAACACGAGCACCCATAGCACACACGGGCTGCTGGGTCAAGTGCTGGCCAGGTGAGCGCGCAAGGCGCACAGACACAACTCACCGCCATGAGCACCGCCACATCCGAGGTGGCTGTTGCCCTCAACACCTCAACGGAGCCCATGGCCGGGGGAGCCAACTCGAGCTCTCCGTCGTCCTCGGCCGAGTACCAGGGCTTGTTCTCCCCGCCTCTCCTGGCCGTGGTGACCACCACGAGCGTTCTTCTCTTCGCCTTCGGGGTGTTGGGGAACTCCATGACCATCGCGGTGTTCTCGAGGACTCACGAGATGCGAACCACCACCTACCTCTACCTGTCCAGCATGGCCGTGTCGGACCTGCTCATCTTCTCGTGCATGCCCTTCGACCTCTACCGTCTGTGGCGCTACCGGCCCTGGCTCTTCGGCGACTTTCTGTGCAGGTGCTTCCAGTACGTGAGCGAGAGCTGCACTTACGCCACCATCCTGCACATCACGGCGCTCAGCGTGGAGAGGTACCTGGCCATCTGCTTTCCCCTCTGGGCAAAGGTGAGCTGAGTTTTTGTCCCGGATTGCCCCCCCCCGGGATTTAAGGGGGGACGGGGCGCACGCGTGGATGGATGGATGGGGTGACCTGACTGGCTCCGTTGTTCACGCGCACAAATCGTCACAATCACCATCGCCATCATCATCATTTCGTCATCATCATCACCATGTGTCATTGGTTCATATGTTTGAGCCTTAATGTTTATTTAACACGTGGGCTTTCCTTAACAAACAAAAAAATGTGTTTTTGTTCCTGGGTAGTAAGTGTCATTTTCCAATTGCTTATGCTTCATAAGTACAGAAAATAGCTATTATTATTCCCCACAAACTTTGCTTTTGTGACCAGGACAGTGATATTTTCAAATGTACCTAATTATCAATGAGAAAACGTGGTGTGCATTTGTGTTTTTCCTTCACGTAAAGTCCTGGTCACAAAAGCAAAGTTTGTGGGGAATAATAATAATATCCATTTTCTATACCTTTGAGGCATAAGCAATTAGAAAATAACACTTACTACCGAGGAACAAAAATCGTGTTACATAGTGTTTTTAGTAATCGATTATATATACACGTTTCAAATATATGTTTATTTATTAACAATATGACACATATATTGGTGAAAAATAAACAAACATTAAGGATCAAGCATGGCAACAAATATGCCGTGGCTCTCCGTCACGGTGTGTTTTCATGTGGTACCAGGCGTGTTGTACGGCCCAGTGTCCGACGTTTCTCGCCGCGTGCTAGGGAGCTCATTCAGTTCCAGCTGCAAAACAAATACACTTCGATGGTTTTTTGTTTGTTTGTGCAGTCACTGGGGACCGGGGTGAGACCACCGATTCACGTCACGAGAGAACACGGTTTAATCACAACATGCACGGTCTACGCGAGAGTCAATGGTTCTCTATGCGAGTCTACGGATCTCAGTGTGGGTCTATGGTTCTCGATTTGAGTCTACGGGTCACTATGGGGGTCTACAGGTCCCTTATGATAGTCATTGGCGACGGGGCCGACTCCCCTTGAGAACCCGGTTTAACCACGGGCAGTGGCTGAGCCCAACATTCGAACCCAGGATTCTCAGCGGTCCCACCTCTGAGCCTGGATGTCCTCCTGATGACGACGACGATGATGATTTAACCTTGGCTAAATTAAAGCCTCCAACACTCGCGTGCTGGCCGCATTAAGTTTGACCACATCTGCCAGTCACTGCCACACTCGGGGAACTGTGATGTCTGGACAGCTGGACTGCACGGACTCCGATCTCTGTCTCCCGAATGCCTCTCGTAGTGGCCAGCAACAATCAAGCGCCGAAGACTCGAACGGTGTACACAGGGGTGTAGACACGTGACGAACCACGCAGGTTTGGTGAAGGCGGGGACCACAGAAAACATAGGGAGTGCACTACAGGTTCCCCTCGCTTAATGTCGGTTCGGTTTGTGCGATTTCGCGTACATGCGGCTAACATTTTTGTACCCCCCCAAAAAAATCGCTCGATGCGGTCTGAACTCACTGAGATGCGGCGATGCGGTCGGACGTGGGACAACGTACTGTGTGTACTGTGTGTGTGTACTGTGTATGTAATGTACGTACTGTGTGTGTAATGTGTGCACTGCACTATTAGGTGGACATTTATAGCAGCCATATACTCTACAGGCATGTTTCTAAATTTTGAGGGAAAACCCAGAGAAAAAAAATCCACGCGACCACGGGGAGAGAGACACGCAAACTCCAAATATACAACAGGCATTATTGGTCGGGATCGAACCCATGGCCTCCTGTATACCAGGCAAGGGAGTTAACATCTCGCCACCATGGCTGGACACTTGAACAGTGGCAGGGAGTCAACCGCATGGATTGGAAACTCATTTCTTTAGTAACTGCTTTTCTCTGTTTAGTTTTGTAGTCCTTCCCCCGCACCTCCGATGAGAGCGATTGGCTACATACGGTGCTAAATAAATCCCAACGTACGCACGGCACACAATATGTCCCCGCTACGTAACAACTCGCAATACAGCTCGCCCGACTCGACCACTGCATCCGTTGCTTTCACAGAGACACCGATTCCGCGCACGAGGTGTGCACGAACAATCATGATTGCCGGGGCACGTCTCCTCGGTGCCATACAGGCAAAATACGGCGATCAGACCCCAGTGCGTCGCTGTAACAACGCGAATGGGGGAACAATTCACGGCACGGGCAGTAAGGAGCACAGCCGGGGTGGAAACGAAGTAACCACCTCGCTTGCACTCACGATGGGATTGATTTCGATTTAAAGCTTTCGTGACTGCAAGGATTCATCTTCTTTGGTTCTTTCGGTAAAGTCACGTAGAATGATAATAAAATAATAAAATAACACAATAAAATTCTCACGTTTCGGCCACAACGCAAGCGGCCGTCACCTGAAGACGGCCACTTGCGTTGTGGCCGAAAGGTCGTGAGAATTTAATTGTGTTATTTTATTATTTTATTCTTATTCTACGTGACTTTACCGAAAGAACCAAAGAAGATGGGATTGATCCTCCAGGCCGGCGAGAGGAACGGACCCGAGTCCACCACTGGACATCGCCTCGCGCGACGCGCATTCGTAGAATTGTCCCAACCTGGAATGTGCCACCGCCATGTAGTTGTTCACTCGCAGAGCGAGAGAAACGAGGGCTGAACGATTAATCGATTTCAAATCGAAATCGTAATTTGAAACAATGCGATTAGCAAATTGCAAAGGCTGCGATTTTATGCGATTTGAAAAGTCCTATTACTAACTTGTAGGAATTGTGTTTTTTATTATTATAACTTTATTTATTTAACTTAACAATTGTTCTATGTTTCATTGTTCTATTTCAATTAAAACATTTTTAATAAATACATGTTGCAAGCAATTAATATCTTTTAAGTTCTCATCCTTGCATTAGAATATATGGGGCAGTTCATATTTTGATGCTATCACGTGGTAATGCTCCATCACGTGTTTTACATCTATTACACAGTGGATATTGAACTGAAGCTTGACTTTAAAAAATGTGATTGCAAATCAAATCGCAATCACAATATCTGTCAGAAAAATGGCAATTAGATATTTTCCCTAAATCGTTCAGCTCTAGAGAGAATGCCCGCGACACGGGGGGCACCAGGAGGAGGAGGAGGAACCACAGGCAAGCGGGAAGCCGCGCGGCGAGGAGCTGGCATCTACCAACAATTGCCCGAGCTCTGCGGTCCCCTACTATATGCCAAGGTGTTTATCGGCCAATACGTCCACATGTGGGAGAAAATCTGAGAAATCCGGAGAAAGGTCACGGGGGGTGGGGGGGGCGACACTTTATCGCATGCAGATGAAACAGGTGGAGTCACATTTTTTTGCTGTTACTACAGCCTCTTCCTGGAGAACCAGGGTTATGGGGTCTCCTCGACGCCCACGTGAAGTTTTCACAACAGTTGTGTAATCAAGCACCAAACCTCGCTTCATCCACAGTGCTGCATTAAAGGCCGCGTGCATCGCCACCAGCGCCCTTGGGATGATAACGCCGTTATGGCAGGAGCTGTGGAACTGCCGGCCCTTCTGTGATATCATTTTTGACTCGATTTTTTTTGTTTAATTTCAGTTGAACGTGACCAATCGGGTGTTGCCACCTTAATCGAGAATGGTATCCCAAGTCCGTGGTGATCGACAGTGGCGTGCACGTCACTGTCCATCACGTGTCGATTCCACTGCGCGTCATGTGACCCGTCGTGTGCCCACCGGCACGTGTCTGCCACGTGCCCACCATTGTGCACCTCTCTCATGTGCCTGGACAATATGGACATGGGTCAACGTTGGGCCAATGTTCGTCGAACGGTTTCGCTCGCGCGCAACACGTCAAGCCCAACGTGGGGCCAACGTTGGCCCGACGTTGGCCCCACGTTGACCCTGCGTCGACCGCGCACGTCAAGTCTCCGCCACACGTCAACCCAGTCGCAAACGCCTCCCGCCCGCACGGTCCACGGCACTCAAACGGGCAAAACCGTTCGTCCTCAGGTGGCCATCACGCGTCGGCGGGTGAGGGCCCTCATCCTGGGCCTGTGGGCCCTGGCCCTGGGCAGCGCGGGCCCCGTGATCTCCATCGTCAGCGTGCAGGTGGAGAAGCGCGAGCCGGTGTGCAAGGTGACGGACGAGGCGCGCAAGTCGGGCCGGCTCGAGATCATCACGTGGATGTCCACCGCCTACTTCTTCCTGCCCGTCTTCTGCCTCGCCGTGCTCTACGGACTCATCGGCCGGCGGCTGTGGCTGCGGCGGACCGAAGCGGTGGTGCCCTGCATGGTGCAGCACGAGAAGGCCCACCGGCAGACGGTGCGCATGCTCGGTGAGAACGCACGCACGCACGCACGCCGCCACCGCCGCACAGCGGCACGAGGCTCACCCCCCTCCCCCTCTTCCCCTTCTTCCACTGTGGGTGCGGACGCTTTGCGGCCGAAGGAAGCGTTGAGCGCTTGGATTTCAGGACGTTTGTTGTTGCGCGCGGTGATCCGCCGACCCTCGCTGCTGCTGCTGCTGCCACCGCCTCCGCAGCGCTGGAGGATTTCGGGTAGCCCACGTGCACAGCGTGGCCACCACCAGCGCCGGCGCCCCCCCCCCCCCCCCACCCGTGTTGCATCGTGAAAAACGATGTTGCGGCAAACCGAGCACAGCTGACAACAGGCCCCCTGCCTGGGAGACAAATCGCAGCAGACATTAGGACGGGCGACGTCCTCCGCTGTTGTATCCGCAGATCATCGGGCGCTGCGTTTGACACGAAGCGACCGGCGTGAGCTGCTCTAAGGGGCCCCCTGCCCCGCCTGGCGAGGACTAATCTATTACTCCTAAACTAGTTTTTATTTTACCAGGTTAAGCCCCCTGAGCTATTAGGTATTTTTCAGAAGCGACCTGGCCACAAATAATAGCGCAACAAAGTGGCATATTACTTGGAAATTCATTGCAGCCAAATAATCTAAGTAACCCTAATGCATACAAATTAAACGAAACTATTTATATTTGACCAGGTAAGGCCCAACTGAGCTATATAAGCTCTCTTTCAGAAGCGATATGGCCACAAATGACAGCTGATCAAAATGGCTTTTTTACGTGGGCATTTATTGCAGCCAAATACTCTACACGAATGTTTCTAAAATGTGGAGGTTAAACCCGGAGGATCCACGCGACCACAGGGAAAGAGCCAAGCAAACTCCAAATATACAGCAGGCGCCAATAGCATTGACCATTGGCGACTATCTGGCCCGTGACATCTGCGTCTCCATTATCACGCGGCCTTTAAAGTTGCGTGGCCACCGTTGATTGGCGAAGTCGTTCGTTATGACAAATGGTTGGGCGTCTTTGGAGGGGAGGAGGAGGGGGGGGGTGCGAAATCACGTCATTACCTCTTTAAATCACACAAGACGAGGTGGCCGAGCGGCTCAGAGGCCAGAGTGCTGAGCCGGCACCGCTGCTGACATTCTGGGTTGAAATCCGGCTTCCAGCAACTGCCTGTGGTCAAAGGCGGCTCTCAAGTTGCAGCGAGTTCACGTCAGCGATGACCGCGTGAATAAAAGGCCACCACGTTAAATTGAAGGCCGCACTTAGGTTGGCTACGCTATATCCGTGCTGTGCGAGTTCAAATATCGACTCACATTGCTCTCATGTCGCACGGTGGGTGGGCAAGTGCTGCCCCTACTGTGTGGGCCAGGGGTCAGTTGAAGCGATCTCAGCGGTAGCTCTTTGGTATCCGCGTCTGCGGGACGTTCTTCTCGCCACTGAGTTCCGAATGGACAAAAGGAGGGCCCTAACCTCGCTGAAGGAAACAAAAAACAAAATCAACAATTGGAATGCAATTGAGACAACAACAAACAACGCAAAACATTTTGTATCATCATAAAAACAAAAAGCCTGACACAATAGCATGGCTTTGCGCTTCCTTGCCACTGCTACCCGCTAAAGCCAAGCACTCAGTGCCCGCAACGCAGCGGTCCGTGGCCGTGGCGGGGCCATCAATCAGCAGCCGCTCGCGTGAGAGGGCCGCATTCACCGCGGTGTTCAACTCCACAGCCACGCACGCCCACCCCCACTCGTCTGTTGCGCCATGAATCCGCGCGGCGTAAATAAAAACATTTTTTAGTTGTTGCGTAAACGACGCGGGGGGGGGGGTTTAGAGGGGGGCGATTTCGACCGAGGACGATCTGAGGACGCTGGCTCAGAAGTTGTGTGCGCCCGTTCGGGGGGGGGGAGGTAAGGGGGGGAAGGGGGCGGAATTTGTTGAGGTGTGGGTGATGAGAACGGTCGCTGTGGACGGGAAAAAAACCGTGTTAAGTGGGCGCCTGAAATGAGCTTTGCTGTGGAAGAGACACACGGAGAGAGAGAGAGAGACTCGCGGAGAGAGACGGATACACGTAAACAAGGAAACATAGTGGTCGAATGGGTTAGATAGACCGAGAGAAACGCCAGAGCAAGACAGATAAATATTCTGTTACAGACAAGGAGACACAGAAGGGAATTCACGGACATGGATAGACAAGAGGTACAGAAACAGAGGGACACAGGGCAATAAGGAGACACATGGACGCACGCATAGAGTGACGCAGATAAGCTAATACAGAGAGAAACACATAGATACGGAGTTTACACGGACAGAAGCACACACAGAATCACGAATCGTGCCTCGGTGAATTCGGTTTTACCCGGCGTTCTTACAGTGCAGGCTCCCGCCGCAAGGACGTTCTGTTTCACAGATGCAGCTAAATGTCCTCTACCAATTTGGCCAAGTTTGGGCCCGTGGCTCCGGCACGTGGCGAACGACGTCGCGGGAAACCGTCAGCGCCGTCCGCTGCGAGCGAGGCAGAAGAGTTCTCACGTTCACCACGACAATCACCGGGAGGGAGGCCTGCCCCATTGGTAGCGCGAACCTCTTAGAGGAATCCGATGAGCTATGCAGCTCTTTTTTCACAGATGTCCAGTAGGGGCACGGGGTGAGAATGTGACAACAAACAATAACAACAACACGATGGGAGTGCACAGTACAAGAGAGGTAAACAAAGCACCCAAACACAAGCAAATACAACACTCAACCATCCCCATCCCACCAGGCAAAGCCCACTTCTTAGCTACTTCAACTTATTTTTAAGAAACGACCTGGCCACAAACGACAGCTCAACGCAGTTGCCCTCCACTACTGCATATCCCTGCTCGCAGCATATTTGTTGTGTTCGTGTGGCGCCAAATGCTCTGTGCTGTGCCAAGGCCGGTGGAGTCTTCACGTCTGTGCTCTCTTCAGTCCGTGTTGTCGTCCCCTGTCCCTGTTCAGGTCCAGGGCTCAAGTTCCTTCCCGGCCTATCACTGGCTAACTGACCGTCCGTCTCTCTGTATAAAATACATATTCCCACCTTTTTTTTCTGTACAGACGTGACGCACATCTAAACTGTCGAGTATTGTCCACGCGCGTCATACATGCGAGGGGCATAGCCACTGTGTGCATGTCCATCATACGAAATCTCAGCGCTGAAATGTTACCGAGTCAAGCGAAAAAAACAGAATTCATCACGATGGGGGGGGGGGGGGTTTTGTTGTTGTATTGTTGTTATTAGTGCAGTCATTGGTGACTGGGCTGAGATCATCCAGTCGCTACCACTTAAGAACCCAGCATAATCACCCAAACCCGGATTCGAACTTGGGATTTCCAGTGCGGCAGGCAAAATCGATTTGGAAAATTGAGAGGCACCGAGCCATCCCTGTCGAGCGTGCAGGACGTGCAACTGCAGCGGGGTTCACAGGCCACACATTGAGGGGATATCGGACAGAGGGCCCCTGAATTATTCCACTCACCAGGGCCCATGTTAACCACGCAGCGACGCTGTCCTGCACCCCCCTCCTGCCACGGTTACACCGACGACGCGTGGATAGAATGTCCACGGCGAGTAACGGAACGGGTGGATGAAAAAGTGAACGCATTCACAGGCTCAAGAAACATCGCGTCGTGCTGGAAACGTGGGAGGGGCAGAGTGACTTGATGACGCCAATTCCTGTGTTTTGAGTGCGTTAACGAATGCAGGGAACATGCAACGTACAACACAAACACACACTCACATTGAGCATGTACACACACAACACAAAGACACAGATCCCTCGTACAGCCTTAGCGAGTAGCAGCTATGAAGGCCAGCAGAGCACACAATGGGATATGTGGCCAGCACCACGCCCGGCTGCCTTTGTCTCCCCAGTGGCAATGTGTAAACATCGTACCAGGTTCTCATTTGCGGCTGAGTCGACCTAGGGGAGGCCCAGAACTGGTTCAGATAATTGTCACCGATGTTGGCCGTAAGCGGGAATTGAGCTCGCGTCGCCGGGTTCGTAGTGCAGCGCGCTAACCACTGCGCGAATGCTCCCCCACACAACACACACGTACAAAACACACGTTACACTCAATATTTACATATTCCCAACGTACATCAACACACACTGTTCAGGTGCTTACGCAAGCCACCCCTGCTTCGCATACTTTGTCCCACAGGCACTCGATCCAAGCGATTTTTTTTTAATTGTCAGAGCAGCATTATTTTTTGGGGCCAAATTGAATCCATTAGCGAATGGAACGCGATTGGGGATTGTTGTGCCGTCACCGGTAACCGGAGGCCATCAACTCCGCCACTCCGTAAAAGCCCAGTGGCTTAACCATGGGCGGCTGCCTGCAACCCGCATTGAAACCCAGGAACTCGGCGGTGCCGGCTCAGGGTCTCTGACCTCCAGAGCCACGCGATCGACTCCTTTGGTGACGCTTGTCCCAGAGTCAGCCACCACCGTCACGCTTGTTTGCCCAAGACGATTTCAGGTTTTCACGGTACCTTCAAGTTTATTGTGTTTAACCAGATGGGAACTCAAGAGACCAGGGCCGAGCGTTATTTGCAAGAGTGACCTGGGGCATCGGTCTGCCAGTTGGGTGCCGATGATTGCTCCTGCTGCTGCTGCTTTGTATAATCCCAAATGAGTAATGTTTAAAATTGCGAATAAAATGTGGACGCTGATGGCGGCACACAACGGCCCACTCAGGATATCATCTCTAACGTCGACTCTGAAGCAGACGGCGAGTAGTAGTATTATTGCTGTTGTTGTGGTTATTAAACCCGCAGTAATAACCGGGTTGGCCGCTGGATTTGAACCGTGAACCTCTGCGATGAGCAGCGAACGCGTCACCACAGGAGGGGGGCGATGATGCCGCCGCGTCGCGTAGCCCCAACGGATTAAAATTTGCCGGTCATTTTTCAGCATCGAGATGTTTGGCCAACACCAGTTTGTACACTGTTTCGTGTTTTTAAGTTCTGGGAGGAGGCTAGGAATCGCGGAGGTAACCCACACAGGGCAAGGGGGGAGAACGTACAAATTGCACGCAGAAAGGCACTGTGGGGCAATCGAAGGAGTCCGTGGTTTTTTGTTTAAGCTTCTGGGAAGAACCCGGGAATGCAGAGGAAACCCATGCACAGAACAGGGGGAGATAAAACATACAAACCCCACGGAGCAAGGCACCCGAGTCGGGAATGGAACCCAGGGGCCTTCTTGCTGCGAGTTACCACCGTGCCCACCACCCTGCCACCCAAAGGCGCCCTGCACCCATCTAGCACCGCCTTGTCCCACGGACGCCGATTACGAGGCGCCTGTACCCACCCCCCCCTCCCCTCCCCCCCGCAGTGGCCGTGGTGGTGGCCTTCGTGGTGTGCTGGCTGCCCTTCCACGTGGGCCGCCTCATCTTCGCGTGGCACGTGACCAAGAGGTCGCAGTTCGTCCACGACCTGAGCCAGTACCTGAACCTCACTTCCTTCGTCCTCTTCTACCTGAGCTCGGCCATCAACCCGCTGCTCTACAACTTCATGTCGCGCAAGTACCGCGCGGCGGCGCGCCGCCTCGTGGGGCCGGGTCTGGCGGCCGCGCTGTGCCCGCGCGCCCGGGACGCGCGGTCCCTCTCGGGCAGGGACCGCGCCGGTCTCTCGGGCTCCTCGGCGGGGTCGTCCTACCGCCGCAGGGCCCGCTCGGTGAGCAGCAGCGTGCAGGAGGACAGCACGCAGGCGTTCGTGCTCGACCCGGGCAGCACGGCCGTGTGAAGGCGCGGGTCGGTGAGGGGGCAGAGGAGGGCACCGGAGCTGGGCCCTGCGCTCGCAGACGCGTGGAGGTGACCACGTGACGCCGGTGTGTCGCCACGGCGTTGCTCGCTTCACATCGCCCGCTGCGACGACGAGTCGGAAGCCCCCCGCTCCTGGCCCTGTTCACGTTTTCCTCCCTACGTGCGCTTTATCCGTTGCGCCTCTTCTCCAAAACCGCGTTCGCCGTCCCCATGGTAGAGATCCTTAGATCGTAATATTCGTGTAAGCCCACGTGAATCGGCAATCGGGTCGGCTGCCCGGTACATTCGGGTGTCTTCTCGTGAGGCCAGCGTAGCGCGGTTTGGTCATGGCTCGGAATGGCAGTTAGCCCCAGTAGGAAAACCATCCGTGCCATGAGTGAGCCGTGCTGGCTGCGAGATAACGCACACGTGTCAGTCCTTCAAGGGAGAAATGCAGTGCTAAATAGAAATAACGGAACAAGCACACGGTTGCAACGTTTGACATGTGAAAGACGCTGCACGTTATATAGCACAGATATATAATATGTATTTAATATGTATTGTAAAGTGTACACGTATAAAATATGTAAAATGTTACACTCATAATAACAACGTATAGCCTACAAACGCTTATATTTACGTATCTTTTTGAGCCAGAGTAAATCTACGATGCGTGAGCCGGCGCAAGGTTCTGTCGGTTCGATACGTTGATGCTTCAAGAGCCACTGCTTGGACACGAGAGTGAGACGCACAATCGAACGGACTGCGGTTATTCTTTCCTGCCCAATAACCTTCCGCGGTCCTGTTTGCCATTGTTTACATGTGTAATGTATACGTATGCAGGAAGTCCTCGTTTGGACGCGTTAAGCGACACACGCATTTGGCGAAAAAGATTTCCCCGATGTAACGGTGAAGTTTGGCGTGATACGATGCCGCGTTTAGTGTATCGTTCCACGAACTCCATCACCTGTGCCGCTCTGAAACTGCGTTATAACGGTGCGCGTTTTGCTTTGTGCGAAAAGTGTTCCCGAGCGGAGTGAGCCGGCATCGTAGAGGAGACGCGTTGTGCGAACACGTGCTGAGCGAGGACTTACCGTGCGTACGTCGTTTTCGTCCAAATGTAATTCCGACCGTGCCGACTGCGTCACGACACGAAGAATCCGGTTCTGAGATGTCGCAAAGCAGCGCGCGACCTTCCCGTGTGTTAGAGAGCAGCCCCTGGAAGTGGATATCGCTGAGGCTACCTCTGAGTTCACTTCTTCTTCTTCTTTTTCCAAGTGACCTCTGAGGTCCACACTTTCCTACCCACTCTGCTGCATGTTGGTCAAACTGATTTTTGTATTTCACAAGAGATGGAATTTAGCCAAATTTAGTGCACCAACTTGAATGTGATTTTCATGGGGTTTTATTTATTTGCGCAGACATTTTCTGGTGACCGGACTTATCACCCATCAACTCACTGCACCTGAGAACCCCCGGTTGAATCACAGGCCATGGCTTAGACCTCCATTCAGACCCCAGGGATCCCACCAGTGCCGGCTCAGCACTCTGAGCCACTTGGCCACCTCCTCCTGTTGCCTGCGATTTGTAGCAAGAAAGCCGTCGCATCTCAACGTGGCATCATTTCAACGTGGCAACAACAGGCCGCATGCCACCGATGAGCATCAGAAAGGTCAAAACCGGCCCAGAGTTTTCACCAAAACGTTTCAAAAGCTTCGTGAAAAAGTGTTGGCCCATGGGTTGGTGGACTATATGAATAAACCAAGCCTTAAGTATTTTGGTTATTAATGAGTTTTATTATTTAATTTTGTCTCTCGAAGGCCTGCCGTTTTAAAAATTAAATTGTGTACGTATGCAGGGAAGGTTTGTTGTGTGTGTTTTTTAATAAGGAATAGTACACCCGTTATATGGTCCGTGCGTTTCCATCAAAACGTCTGCACAGCGCAACGCGGTAATATAAAAAAAACATTAAAAAATGTATGATACTGTACACCAGGGGCTTAATTTCAACTCGAGCTGTCCGGGGCTGAGCTGGAGAAATTATTTATCTGGCCCTACCACCCCCTCCGCTATTCATTGAGCCAACATCTCTTGAGCTTTGACTGCCATTGGTAACAACGTGCAGATCTTTAATAATCGATCATTAACAATATATTAAATAGCTGCAATTAAATTTAGTTTGGAGGTTTATAATCCGACGTCACAGTTATGGCAAGGCACATTCTCTGCACAACTGATATTTCTCTATCTCATTAGCAGTTTTTAACTTCATATACCTCTAAATTTCGATTTAAAGCTTTCGTGACTGCAATGATTCATCTTCTTTGGTTCTTTCGGTAAAGTCACGTAGAATGAGAATAAAATAATAAATTGATAAAATAAAATAACACAATAATATTCTCACGACGTTTCGGCCACAACACAAGCGGCCTTCATCAGGCTCCCTTCACCTGATGAAGGCCGCTTGTGTTGTGGCCGAAACGTCGTGAGAATATTATTGTGTTATTTTATTTTATCAATTTATTATTTTATTCTCATTCTACGTGACTTTACCGAAAGAACCAAAGAAGGTTCATATACCTCTGTTCAGAATAAAACATGTAAGCTATAACTTACCTCGGAAGCTGGCTCGTTTGTTTGAGATTTTTTTCTAAGGCTCGGTTTGGAGCGGTTGGGAAGCCCTGGGAAATATTCCATGGGAAATTAAGCCCCGTATGGTGTACTTGCTTATGCGCTTTAATTTAGTGTCAAGTCATATAAACCAACTGCAGGTGAAGTTGTGCTTGTTGAATTGAATATTGTAGAATGTGAAAATAGCAACACGATAGTTAATCAACTCTTTTATTCACGAGCTTTTTTGCCCGTCCAAGGACGGGTGTATAATGCAGTACATCTGAAATATTCAATAGTAAAATTGTTCAGCACATTATTATTATTGAGGGGGGGGGGTTGCCCCATGTGGAGTGACGTCACCCCCTCATGATTATTAATGAGGGAAGGGGTGCGGCATGTGGAGTGCGCGACCTTGTGCTTTTATGTAAATTTCCACGCGGCCATGAATATTAATTAATGGGGGGGGGGGGCTCTTTTGCAATGACGTCACACACGGATGCAGCACTGTGCTACGTAGATTTTTTTTACCGTCACTTTCTGTAAAGAAACGTCATATTTGAAGCGACTTGCGTAATAAATTATTTAATTCAGCTCGACCTTCCTCTGCGTTAGTGTAAAAATCCAACTGCTCATGAATATTAATGAGGGGGGGTGGACCGCATGTGGAGTGACGTCACGCGGGGGGGTGGGCCACATGTGGAGTGACGTCACGCGGGGGGTGGGCCTCATGTGGAGTGACGTTACGCGCGGGACGGACAGACATTTCTGGGTGATTATCGTAGTTAATTCCACTGCCAACGCTGACCCAACGTTCGACGTTTACTGTGCACCCGATGTGATTGAAATGAACCCTCCCCCCAACCACCACCGCTGCTGTTGCTATTTGCAGGGAAATGATATCTTTAAATAAGAATAGGTTTGACCCTTTCTGGCAATAAAACAGTTGTATTAAGATGTTAAAACACCAAATATACTTGTGGTGAACATGCAAACAAGAACATGCAAACAAAAACATGCTCTGGTAGTCTATGATGGCATTGTCTTTGACACTGATTGGTCCACACCAGAGACAGCTTTCTTGAGAGCCTAGTCTCAAACATCGTTAGACCGTGATGTAGCTGCTCACCCCAAGCTCTCAATTCCCTGATAGTGGCATGGTATTTGTGGTGTTCGCCTTGGTCACATCTAGATAAGTTCTAGAGGTCTCTTGGTCACATCTAGATAAGTTATAGAGATCTCTTGGTCACATCTAGATATGTTCTAGAGGTCTCTTGGCCACACCTAGACAAGTTGTAGAGATATCTTGGTCACATCTAGATAAGTTATAGAGATCTCTTGGTCACACCTAGATATGTTCTAGAGGTCTCTTGGCCACATCTAGATAAGTTATAGAGATCTCTTGGTCACATCTAGATAAGTTCTAGAGATATCTTGGTCACACCTAGATATGTTCTAGAGGTCTCTTGGTCACATCTAGATAAGTTATAGAGGTATCTTGGTTACATCTAGATATGTTCTAGAGGTATCTTGGTCACATCTAGATAAGTTCTAGAGGTATCTTGGTCACATCTAGATATGTTCTAGAGATCTCTTGGTCACATCTAGACAAGTTCTAGAGGTATCTTGGTCACATCTAGATATGTTCTAGAGATCCCTTGTTCACATCTAGACAAGTTCTAGAGGTATCTTGGTCACATCTAGATATGTTCTAGAGATCTCTTGGTCACATCTAGATAAGTTATTGAGATCTCTTGGTCACATCTAGATAAGTTCTAGAGGTATCTTGGTCACATCTAGATATGTTATAGAGATCTCTTGGTCACATCTAGATATGTTATAGAGGTCTCTTGGTAACATCTAGATAAGGTATAGAGATATTTTCGTCACACCTAGATAAGTTATAGAGGTCTCTTGGTCACATCTATATAAGTTATAGAGGTCTCTTGGTCACATCTAGATATGTTCTATAGATATCTTGGTCACACCTAGATATGTTCTAGAGGTCTCTTGGCCACATCTAGATAAGTTATGGAGATCTCTTGGTCACACCTAGATAAGTTCTAGAGGTCTCTTGGTCACATCTAGATAAGTTATAGAGATATCTTGGTCACATCTAGATAAGTTATAGAGATCTCTTGGTCACACCTAGATATGTTCAAGAGGTCTCTTGGTGACACCTAGATAAGTTCTGGAGATATCTTGGTCACATCTAGATAAGTTATAGAGATCTCTTGGTCATACTCTTTGGTTCTATTGGGTAAAGTCACGTAGGTGAAAATAAAATAACAAAAAATCACGACGTTTCGGCCACAACACAAGCGGCCTTCATCAGGTGAAGGGACGAGACTGTCTGGAGGACAGCGCTGGAGTGGGAGAAGCCACGCTTAGATCACGACCTTTAAGCTGTGTGAGAAGAAAAACACAAAGCGCCTTGTGATCACGGCATCTTTTGATGAAGGTCAGCGTCTCGATGAGTTGCGACTTCTTGTCCCGTTGTCTGTTAAAAGCTCTAACAGATAGGTGAAAGCCCTCCCCATAGAGGTTATCAATTCTAGATTTAAAGCTTTCGTGACTGCTAGGATCCATACTGTTTGGTTCTATTGGGTAAAGTCACGTAGGTGAAAATAAAATAACAAAAAATCACGACGTTTCGGCCACAACACAAGCGGCCTTCATCAGGTGAAGGGAGGAGACTTTCTGGAGGACAGCGCTGGAGTGGGAGAAGCCACGCTTAGATCACGACCTTTAAGCTGTGTGAGAAGAAAAACAAAGATGCCGTGATCACAAGGCGCTTTGTGTTTTTCTTCTCACACAGCTTAAAGGTCGTGATCTAAGCGTGGCTTCTCCCACTCCAGCGCTGTCCTCCAGAAAGTCTCCTCCCTTCACCTGATGAAGGCCGCTTGTGTTGTGGCCGAAACGTCGTGATTTTTTGTTATTTTATTTTCACCTACGTGACTTTACCCAATAAAACCAAAGAGTATGGATCCTAGCAGTCACGAAAGCTTTAAATCTAGAATCTCTTGGTCACATCTAGATATGTTCTAGAGGTCTCTTGGTCACACCTAGACAAGTTGTAGAGATCTCTTGGTCACATCTAGATAAGTTATAGAGATCTCTTGGTCACACCTAGATATGTTCTAGATATCTCTTGGTCACATCTAGATAAGTTATAGAGATCCCTTGTTCACATCTAGACAAGTTCTAGAGGTCTCTTGGTCACATTTAGATATGTTCTAGAGGTCTCTTGGTCACACCTAGATAAGTTCTAGAGGTCTCTTGGTCACATCTAGATAAGTTATAGAGATCTCTTGGTCACATCTAGATAAGTTATAGAGATCTCTTGGTCACACCTAGACATGTTATAGAGATCTCTTGGTCACATCTAGATAAGTTATAGAGATCTCTTGGTCACATCTATATATTATAGAGGTCTCTTGGTCACATCTAGATATGTTATAGAGGTATCTTGGCCACATCTAGATAAGTTATAGAGATATCTTGGTCACATCTAGATATGTTCTAGAGATCTCTTGGTCACACCTAGACAAGTTATAGAGATCTCTTGGTCACATCTATATAAGTTATAGCGGTCTCTTGGTCACATCTAGATATGTTCTAGAGATTCCGTGGCCACATCTAGATATGTTATAGAGATCTCTTGGTCACATCTAGATAAGTTATAGAGATCTCTTGGTCACATCTAGGTAAGTTCTAATGGTCTCTTGGCCACATCTAGATAAGTTATAGAGATCCCTTGTTCACATCTAGACAAGTTCTAGAGGTCTCTTGGTCACATCTAGATATGTTCTAGAGATCTCTTGGTCACATCTAGATAAGTTATAGAGATCTCTTGGTCACATCTAGACAAGTTATAGATATATGTTGGTCACACCTAGATATGTTCTAGAGGTCTCTTGGTGACACCTAGATAAGTTCTGGAGATATTTTGGTCACATCTAGATAAGTTCTAGAGGTCTCTTGGTCACACCTAGACAAGTTATAGAGATCTCTTGGTCACATCTAGATATGTTCTAGAGGTCTCTTTGTCACACCTAGACAAGTTATAGAGGTCTCTTGGTCACACCTAAATATGTTCTAAAGGTCTCTTGGTCACACCTAGATATGTTCTAGAGATCCCTTGGCCATATTTAAGAGACACCAACGAAATGGCTGCACCCCGGTCCAATACTTGCCAGGAGCATTTTAAGGAGCAAACTGTTACAGAGCAGCCTCGATCTTTCTGAGGATC